GTCAATGAAAATTTTTGACAGGACACGACATTTAATTGAATATGACACACAAGAAAATTTAATAACTATATTAAGAGAGTATCTTCCACCTAACATTACGGTAGGAATTCATTGTACCTTAGAGGACTTATTTCAAATTCAATTACCTTTAAAAAATAATTTCACAAACACATTCCTTTTTACAAGAATCTTTCTACAAGACGTGGAAAACGAGGAAGATAAAGCTATAATAATAGAAGAAACGCACAGCCGTGCTCATAGGGGGCTAGAAGAGAATTACAAACAGATCAGTAAATTATATTATTGGCCAAACTGTTTTAAAAAATTAAAAGAATATATTAAAAGTTGCGTGATTTGTAACGAAAATAAATATAACAGGCATCCAATAAAAATTCCAATTGGGGAAGCCCCAATTCCAAGTAAAGAAGGAGAAAATTTACACATTGATATATATTACGCGCAAGGTCTTTCTTTCATAACTTGTGTTGACGCTTACTTAAAATTTCTAGTAGTAAAAGAAATCCAAAATAAATTAAATATCGAAAATAAAGTAATGAAACTTCTTCAGCATTTTCCACAAGCAAAAGTAATAATGACCGATAATGAACCGAGCTTTACCTCGGCCCAATTTAAATCTTTCGCACAAAGGTGCAATTTAACTTTACATTACGCAGACCCGAGGCACAGCACGTCAAACGGACAGGTTGAAAGGGCACATTCTACATTAACAGAATTAGCTCGATGCATTAAAGAAGAATTTAATTTAACTGACTTTTCCGAAATAATAATAAGAGCCGCTCAAGAATATAATCAGAGCATTCATTCTACAACGAACCAAACACCTTTTGACCTATTATATAATAAAATAGAGCACGATAACATTCCTCAACTTTTGAAAAATACTCAAGAGAAAATGTTGGAAACACATAATGAAAACAGAAAAGAAAAAGAATATCATGTAGGACAGGTAGTCTATGAAAAGAAACACGGGGAAAGAAATAAACTTAAAACCAGATAAAAAAAACAAATAGTTAAGGAAAATTTACCCAACAAAATAATAATCAACAATAGAAATAGAATTATTCACAAAGATAATATAAAATTCTAAGTATTTATATATTATCCTTTTTTTCTTTCCTTTCCCAGAAGATGTTTTATTAGGTGCTCATACTACACCTTATTTTATTAAAAAAATCAGAAATAATTGACTATACAAGTCACGAATATCTTTTATTTAAGGACAATAAAGACGTATTGACGTACGATTTATACGCAGATTTATTCCATGTAACTAACTTAAGCTTTTATAAAGAAATAATAAATTTGGAATCAGATAATATTCAAAGGGATACTAATAAAAGGTCACAATGGGAAATTAAATATGACATAAAAGTAATCGAACTAATTTTATCGCAATTAATATCAACTAGATCAAAAAGAGGGATAAATGAGTTAGGCCCCGTGTGGAAATGGTTAGCTGGAACTCCGGACCATGATGATTTTATTACAGTTCAGAATAAAATTAATGAATTAATTGAAAACAATAATAAGCAGTCTTTTATCAATTCCCGATTATTCAAAGAAATAGAATCTCTTTCCGATGATTTTAAAAAAGTATTTATTGATCAAGATCTACCACTTCGAAAACATCGCTTGCGATTATTAACATTTGATCTGCAAAATTTAATTGACACAATCACTCTAGCAAAAATAGACGTTTTTAATACCAAAATTTTAAACAATGATGACATCTTGGAAATATTAAAACATGAACAAAAACCAGTAATTATAGCTGATTTAATGGACATCTCTTCTTTTAAAATCGCATTGCATAAAGAACTTTTAATAATTTATATAAAATACCCAATAACAAAAAACAGATGTGAAATATATCACGCTAGAGCGATTTTCCAAATCGATGGAAAACTAGTATTAAGCAATCAAGTCGCAAAATGCGAAAATATTTTTTACGAAATGTCTAATTTTAAGAACGAACTTTTTAATAATTATTGCACTTTAAGTAATAAAAAAACTTGTTTTACCCGATTATTAAATGGTGAGAAATTAACCTGTAACAAAATAAGAGAAAAAAATCAAAAAATAGACATCATACAAGATGGTGCCATTCTTATAAATGGGAACAATATTGTTAACAACTCCCATTTAAACGGTTCGTTTTTAATAACATTTAATGGTACAACTAAAATTAATTATATCTCATATACCAATTCGGAAAATAAAATTCTTGAATAAGTTACTACGAACCACGAAAAAATTATGAAATATCCGATTACATATTATTAAATAACTCTGATCTTTCTTTAGATAATATAAGCATTTTAAACCCTTTTGTAACGTCGGCGTTAGATCAGTGTAGGTGGCAACCCCGGGGAGGGGAGATGGCAACCGATCTGAGTACCTTATGCTTTAGTAGGACCATAGCAAGGAGTTAGGCGTTTCCAATGTCCGGAGGTCTGGCAACCGGTGTAAAACCGTTATTGGAAGCTGGAAGCTAGAAGCAGAAATCCGAGCGGGTACAGCACTTTCTTTTTCATTTCTGGCGTGACCCAAAGAGGTTCATCCAAGAAGTTTTCTGGCGTGACCCAAAGAAGTTCAACGCACAAGCAGGGTGGAGAACAAGCACCTTCGGAAGTCACCAGCAGATCACAGCAGCAAAATAGAAGCGCAGCTTGTGGGCAGACGCGCCCAAAAGGTCGGCGCTAAAGTGAGGCAGGTTACGGATCGTAGTGTCGGTGAGTGGTGAGGTTAGGTCAGGGTCGATCAGGTCCGATGTATAATTTTGGCTTTTTAGAACGGAGGGCCTGGTACAAGGAGTACGAGGCGGTCGTGAGGAGAGACGGTGGAGTCGTGCGAGGTTCCCAGTGGAGCAGTCGACGGCGCATATTGAGACGGAGCGCGGCGCGAAACCGCCCACGAGGCGCGGCCGCGAAAGGACTGGGTTCCTACCGGAGAGCACGGTCGGAGCAGTCGCCGGAGGAGCTGGAGCTGATTGTGGTCCGGGGCGAGCGAGCCCGGGATCCAGGCTCGGAGCGTTTGCGGCGATTTTAAGGAACGCTCCGCCGCAAGAAAAAGGGGAGCGTAATCGATCCAACTGGTGGCCTCGTGGTGCCACAAAGAACTGTGCGGAGTTGGTGAGCGGAGGGTTCCGCTCCGAATAAAGATTTCGATTGGCTAACTAAGTGAACATCTTTTTGTGTGAACGGGTTAGCGAAAGCTTTCCCGAGATATTTCCTTTCCAGCTTCGAGCACGTGGAAGCGCTTCAACCAGCTCGTCGCGGACAAAGGGGTGAGTGAGTACGAGTAGTTTTACATAAAGCCAATCGAAGCGACGCGGAACATTCCGGTCGTCAAACTACCGCATCGTCCGATTCCCGGCCGAAGGGGGTCCACCAAGTGGACGGTTGCCTTCGCCATAGACACCGCGAGTGATCCGTTAAAGAGCCCGATCCTAAAAATGTAACCAGGGCATAGCCGAACCGTTCTTATGTAATGCTAGCTCGCGGAAAAAGACGGCTGAGTCCATTATAGAAAAACGCGCAGATACGCAGCGAATCCACATACGCCTGGCGCAGTAAGCCTTTCACCACGAAGCGGTGCAGAAGAGCTGAGGGTGTAATTTTTATTTTATTATTCGGAGAGTAGAGAAAGATACATGAAGAGAGATACATGAAATGAAATATTATTCGTTAATTCCCTAATTTAAGCTAACTCTAAGACACATTACATTGGAATACATTGCCTCCGCGCTACTAGTTCAAGTTTTTTCATTTTCAATCGTTTAACCTAGCATCTAGTTGGTAGATAAGTAAGCCAAGAAGGAAAATTGAATTTCTAGCAAAGTAAGGGGAAACAGGGATGGGGAAAAAGTAAATGTATAAGAACACTTTAGCCTAATAAACATGAATTTTATAATGAGATAAAGGAAAAATAATTCGCCTCGCTTAATTCGCCACCGCCTTGCCGCTGAACCACCCCCAACTTTTGCGGTCTCGAGGATCTTGAAGATCCAAATGTAATTTGTTTTGAGAGGACTATGTTTGGCCTCCGCAGTTCGAGAGGCCGTGCACGCAATCGATTAACGATAGAATTTATGATCTCCGAGGTAAGCATCAGGGAGAGAGAAAGGGCCCTATATGACCCACCCATTAGCCGACGAGGCCTAGCTGGCAACCGCGTGCAACCCTTTCTCTCAGCCGTTGATCCAAAGATGCCACCTCACAAGGTTGACTGTTCGTTACAGTAATAATTATCATAAATTTTTCTGGCGCCCAACGTGGGGCCATGTTTTCAGTATGGCTAAACGCAGCCATGTTTTGCGTTCAATTCATTTCGGCTGGTTATAGTAGCATGGTAGTAACCAGACCAAAAGCCTCAGCAGAGGTGCGGGTACCGCATGGAATTCTACACTTGGTGAAAGGGTAGACCACGGTGCCACAGCAGTCGCAGCAATAGTTTGGAGTAGCAGTTCAGTATCTCGCGTAGGATTTCAGGAGGGAAAGGACTAACCTGACCACGAGTTATGACTGGCGAGTTGTGACAAGAGCAAAGGGACGGGACAACTGACGCTGCAGTCGCTTGGAGAGCAGGATCAGTCAGCAAACTGATGTCTGACCACGCCTGGAGATTGGCAGTTACGACCCGTCGCCCCCTAGTAGAGAAGATGGACGCTTGGAATTCAGTCGTAGGAGCTACGAATGACCACGTCCTAAGAGATAGCGTAGTTGACTCGCGGTGCCTGGGAATAGCAGGGACGGGCGACGAAGAGGCGTAGAGGGGAGTTGCTCGAGCCACCTCCCGAACAGATCAGAATGAGGAGCAAAGCATAAAGAAGAAGAACAAAAGGCAGCGTGTATTGGCGGTAGGCAAGTTAAACGATGGCGAAGTTTGGTTTCATATTAATAGTAATCAGAGTTGTGGTAGTCGAAGAGAGAAAGCATCTGTTAGTGTATCTTTAGATTTAGAAAGTAAAATAGGAAAGGATGAATCCGGCAGAGGCAGAGAAGGGGGCAGCGACACCCATGAAGATGCCCATCTGCATGATATGCAACAAAGAAATGGCAACTGGCAGAGCCAGGACCAAGTGCGGGCACGAATTTCACAAGACATGTATAACAACACATGCCAGGTCGAAGTCGTCATGCCCGACGTGCAAGGTAGTGTGCTTTGAGAAAGTCCAAGCGGCAAGTGACACGACCGCTGCGAGTACGAGCCAGCAGACTCGCCGGCCAGACTCACCCTGCGGGACTAGCCAAGCAGGATCTCAGTCAGAATCTCTAGGAAGCACAGCGGAGCTGCAAGCATTGGTGTCCCAATCAGTGAGCGCCATGCAGGCGACGTTACTGGAACAGCTATCGACACAGGTGGACAGACTATTCCACCAAAGGGAGCGTCCAGAAAGGGATGAAGAAGTTAGAGCTTGAGTCCACGAACAACCCAGTGGGATTTACGATAATGAAGGGGCGATTCAAGATCAAAGTTACAGTTTTAGGAACGGTATAAGGCAACAAGCAGAACAAAGCCTAGCGTACAGACCAGATAAGGTGGGCCACATTATAAACAATTGGAAGATTCGGTTTAGCGGACATCCAGAGGGGATGACTGTCGATAATTTCATCTATCGGATAGAAGCATTGACCCACCAAACACTGGATAGTAATTTCTCAGCTCTGTGCGGCAATGCGAGCTTGCTGTTCGACGGTAAAGCGGGAGAATTTTACTGGCGTTTCCATAAGTTGAATAGAGGGATGAGATGGGGCGAGTTGTGCGACGCGCTTAGAAATCATTTCAGGGACAATAGAACGGATGAGGACATACGCGAAGCAATAAGAGACCGAAAACAACGCGAAAGAGAGGATTTCGATTCATTTTACGAGGCGGTAGAGCAGCTGATGGATGGGTTGAGTGTTCCCTTGAGCGAAGCCACCCTAGTAGAAATGGTTAGAAGAAATCTCAGGTCCGAGATCCGCCACGAGTTGCTGAATGTATCAATACGTTCGATAGGCCACTTACGAGAAGTTTGCAGGCGTCGTGAGCGATTTTTAGAGGAAGTGCGTCGAGATAGCAGCTCGTCAAAGCCGGGTTGGACAAAGAAGGCATATGGAGAAACCCGCTCTTTAGCGCGGGTGCGCTCTTTAGCGCGGGTGCGCTCTTTAGCGCGGATGCGCTCTTCAGGTGAGCGGCACAACGGGCCCTCACCTAAACATTCTCCCCCCCCTTGCAATCGCTCGGGTTGCAACAGATCCCTCGTCGCTAGCTATGCGTCACTGCAGCTAGAGGGCGTACACGGGTCGATGGAGGTCCCCGTGTCGAAAATCCGGGTCCCGATGTTGACGTTGTTCCGTCTCAGCAGCGACGATAGGGTGGGCGCAGCGAGCGCGTCCTGCGGGGGCCCTCGAGGAGAGGCGGAAAGTTGCCTAGGCGCGGATGACGCGGGCGGAAGAGCGGTGGACGGCACCCGATGAGTGGCGGACGAAAGCAGTGGAGCGCTTGATGGCTGCCGGCCAGTGGCGGAAGAATGCCGAGGAGTTATCGAAGAGTGCCTGGAAGTCGGCGGCCGTGGATCGGTTTGGAAATGCCGGAAAATGGCGGACGCAGGGCGAGAAGCACCCGAACCGCGCCGGGAGTTGGCGGATGACGGCCGACGAGAGAGCGAGACACCAGGTGTACTGTCTCCCTTGGGCGGTGACCGGTGCTCCTTGGTCCCGGGGTGCAGCAGCGTGTGGTGATCCTGACCACACGTCTTACAGCCGTCCCCACGCCGACAGGATCCGTCGGAGTGCTCGTGGGCCAGGCAGCTCGAGCAATAGCGGTTCACGAGAACCACTCGGAGCCGCTCCTCGGCACTAAGGCGTAGGAAGCGCCGACACTTCTTCAACGGATGACTCCCATTGCAGACTCGGCATCGGTAGGATAGTGTACCTCGAGCACATCTGCTTTCCAGTGACGGGGCGTTGCGTGGGCGTGGCGACATCGTGCTGAATATGACCTTGGAATCTAGAATTAGACCCGGATCAGTCGGATCATCAGCTGATTGCCACCGTGCAGCGTGATGCGATGTGTAAATCGGAGAAGGAGTCGTAACAGAATTATGCTCGCATCCGGAATCGGAACCCTGAACCAGTGAGTCACCGAGGCTGCGGGCAACTCGTGCGGAAAAAACAGACACGCTGCTGGGGTTGGCTGGAGATAATGGGCCTGTCAGCACCCATCCGAAAATGGTCTCCTGACCGAGAAGCGACCCGCAGATATTAGCCTTGGAATTACCGAGGAGAATGGACGGAAGAATGTCAGCTCCTAATAACACATCGACTTGGGAGCTCTCAAAGAAGTTGGGGTCCGCCAGGGTAATATTGGGCAGCCCCTTGAGACGATCTCGCGAAATCGGATATGATGGCAGATTTCCTGCCAACTGCGGAAGCACGTAAGCCGCAGTCTCTAATTGTAGCCCGGGTCTAGACGGCGACCGAATGGAGAAATGGCACAATTTTGTAGACTGCGCGGAAATGGTCTGATTAAGGCCGGAAACTTGGGCTTGAATCGTCTTGAAGGGAGGTTTGACGAGGTTGAACAGTCGCTCCGTTATGAACGTCGCTTCGGAGCCTGAGTCTATCAGTGCTCGTGCTTGGACGGTGCACCCCAAATGGCACACGTTGATAAGGGCCGTGCCCAGTAGGACGGCTCCTGACCCGGAAGCGAAACACACCTGCACATTCGACTGATCCTCGGAGCCGTTTGTTGACGTAGGCGGACTTGGAGCGGTAAGCTGCGTAGGCGGACTTGGAGCGGTTGCGAATGGATTGCCGCGGTGCAAGAGGGTGTGGTGTCTGCTGTGGCATGTGGAGCAGGTATGAGCGCTCGTGCAGTCTCGCTGCTGGTGCCCTCGGGCAAAACAGTTTAAACATAACTGCTTCCTCCTTATGTAATCAGAGCGCCCATTTACATCCATTTCTAGGAAACGCGGACATAAGCGAATGGGGTGGTCCTCCCTCGCACAGAGATCGCAGCTCTTTTGGCCCGGAACCACTCGAGTCTCGTATGAAGTGAGCCTCCGAGCAGGGGCAGTAGGAAGTCCCGACCTTGGCGGAAATTGCACGGAGCCACTAGGCCTGACGTCGTCGATGGCCTCCAGAGTGCGATGGCGCTCTGTCAGGAAGTTATCTAATTCCTTCCATGTTGGAATCTCGGCCTTATTATGTACGGATTGCTCCCACATGGAAAGTGTGACTTTAGGGAGCTTTGACGAAATCATAAATACCAGGAGACAGTCCCAAGCCTCAACATTTATGGCGGACATTGCTAGGGCTGTCAGACAACTCTGAATGGTGGCTTGCAGCTCCTTCAGCGCGACCCCGGACTCTTGTGAAATAGCCTGGAGGTTGAAAAGGATTTTCAACTGGCTATTGACCAATAGCCGCCGGTTCTCAAAGCGGTCTGTGAGGCTTTGCCAAGCGACGACAAACCCCTCATGGGTAAGCGGAGCCTTAGAAACAATGGCGTGGGCGTCACCACTTGTTTTGGACAATAAGTGGAACAACTTCTCTACCGGGGTGAGCCGCGAGTTTTGGATGTAAATGGCCGTAAACAAGTCTCGGAAGGTGGGCCACCGAAGATAATCACCCGCGAAGACCTCGGTATCCACCGGAGGTAACCGGCAGCCTGTAGACGCGGGCGTGTGAACGTTGACGGAAGCCGGAGTGGTATGGGAAGCAATTCTCTCTCGAAGCTGGGCAATACACCTCGAATAGACGGAGTAGCAGTAGCTGTACTTCGATTCCAGCACTGTCGAGATGGCCGCATTGTCGTCGGACTCAGCTAGCAAATCGGAGCAGCTCTCATAGCTTTTCTCCACCTTCTCCCACAGTGCCCGAATTTGGTCCCGGTGGACTTCGCACATGTATTGGGAGCCCACTTCCGTTTCTCTGGCGGCCGGAGTATTAATGTTGGCCTCAAATTGGCTAACTCGATCTGAAGTGGCGATGAACTTCTTCAGCGCCACGTCGACCGCACTTTGAGCCATTTTTGCAACGGAACGAGTCTGCCTCTGTGAAGGACCGGAGCTCGTGTTGACGGATTCGTCACTTTTCGCCCTTGGAATGGCACTGTACGCCTTAGGCTTTAAAAGAGGCGTCCGCGGAGAAGCGGATCGAGATCTCTCCAAACGGATGGTCGGGATCGGACGTGGCTTTTGGTCGTCTCCCGTGGGCATTCTCAGACACCAATTCGGTAGCCGGTAGCCGGTAGCCGGTAGCCGGTCACTAATGTGATGAGCCCGGTGAGATCTCGGACGAAATGCGATTGCAAGGCCAAGTGGGAATTATTAGCGCCGATGTCGAGAGGAACGTCGGAAACGGCACAATTCGGATGTGGGAGAAACTTCAGGAAGCCAAAAAAAAACCCAGATGGGCCAAGGTTTGTCGAGATTCTAGGCGGATGTTGCCAGATGCGGAGTAGGAGTAAGGTTAGGAAAAATGCCGGAGCGGAAAATGGAAAAGGACCGGAAAATTCGTGCTCGTTCGGAAAAATAATTGATGACTGTCGATATATGTATATTTCGACCAGTATGGCTCGTACGTAAATATTTAATTCCTAACTATTTTCGAATTTGCGGAGCCGGAAAGGTGGACTTGACCTTGGCTTGTATTTAACACAGAGAGAAAATAAATAATTAATTTTTGCCTAATTGTCGGATTTAATTATTTTGGAAACAGACGGGTGGAGTTGAGAATTTCAATTTTTAATCAATGGAGGTTAAGTAACCCGAAGCTGGAACGGTGGAATTGAAACCGCGGCTAGGTTCAGAAAGCCGATTGACAATTAAATTATTTAATTATAATTTTTTCCTCTTTCGATAATTAAATTTTTGACCTTAATTATTGAGTGGCCGGAAAGGGAAATTAAAAAAACCCTGGCCCTTTGCTCGGACGGAAAAATACGAAATAAATAAATTTTGTAGTTATAAATATAAATAAATAAATTTATAATTAATTGATTTTTTTTGTTTGGTTTGTTTGGTTATATATTTCCTGGAACTGGAGGCAGAAAATATTGAGAAATATATGGGCATACATGCAAGTAGGGCAAGGGCATGTGGGCATACGATGGTACAGTGGAACGTCGAGAAGTGGACTGTATGGTTAAATTTTATCGGTTATATATTTCCTGAAATCGGAGGCAGAAAATATTTGGAGATATGTGGAAATGCCTGCAGGTACGGATATAAGTAAGGGCATGTGGGCATATGTTGGCACAGTGGAGCTTTGATAAGTGGACTGTATAATTGGGGAAACAGAAAAGTTGTGTGGTGTAAAAAATGACACGGATTGAGGAAGATAAAAACAAATATTACGACAGCGGCGGACTGTTCGGTGAATTTGGAAATTCCGGAACTAATTCACACCGGTGGCCAATATTAATTATGCCT